CTGGCGTAGTGGTGACTGAAAGGCCTAGCACGACAAGTGTGCGTAATTAGCCAAATAACAATAGAATTTAACCTTGGGGGCTGCCAGTACAAGCGCCCCATACCTGACACACGGAACGAAAAACCACGGTAACTAAATAATACAACAACCCACCTCAATGAACTAAGGATACGTGCCGGGTTTTACAACTTCAAAGATGTTTCCACTTTAATATTTGTAATTACATCGGTCATATTAGATTGTGCATATCGCTAACACGTACAACCGGAATGTAACTTAACTAATGTGGGAACATAAACGGTATATTAATGGTATTGCATGTATGGCTTATCTGATGTCATGCAATGATGAGCCCACGGCTGAGGTCACATCCCTTTGTTGAAAATAGACTCTCTTCAACAATTCACGTCAATACGCCAATATTGACATTTTGTGTGTTATTTCATCTGCTACTTACCACGACATCGTGACAATTTGAAAATAATGAACGTCTAACGATAATCTGTATTTAGACTTTGTCCCGACTGGTTTCACGATAAACGCACAACAGATGATGCCATTGTACTAGTATGTCATTGTAGTTTTTCAACAACAATTGCAGCATTTTTGTTGATGTCATCGGCGTTGTTGGAGTCGAACAAAAATACTCCTGTCACGAAGTGTTTACGATAGTTTGGAGAATCCGTTTTTCTATTTAACAACTAAATGTGTGAAGTAGACAAAGGGGGCATGACGAACCCCTAGGCGTTTTTTCCGGCAATACTGAACATGAACCATGACGGGTCTATGTATGAATTCACTGTCAGCCCTTGTTTATCCAGCTCTCAATAGTGATGGGGTACATTCACGTCCTCTACCCTACACCGTCGTAATTTGGTTCTACAAACAAAACACATCGGAGGGCACTCGATTTCAAGGACAAAATGTTTAGTAATGATTGTCATTTTGAAGGTAATATTTGAAGGAAATCAAGGTGGGTCATCTTAGCTATCGCCTTTCAAACCTCAAGGTTCTGTGCACATATGTCTATCTCCTTTCATGTAGATTGTATTTTAACACAATGGCGCTGTTTTTTTAGGGAATCGGGGAAATACAGTTACATTTCTTACGGTTGTACATCATAGCCACGCACCAGTCTGATACTTTGGTAATACCAGTATACTATAGTAGAAATTACATCATACCTAAACAATATCTAATAAATTCATAATTGTAAAAAAAAAGAATTTACAAATCAAAGAAAACAAGTACAATACAATGGACTGATACTCATTACAACATGTCGAGTAAATAATACATCGGAGTACATTGAGAGAAAGATACAGTCAAGAAGTGATGCCATGTGTCTTGAAACTTGTCAGTCTTCGGCATAATCTACTGCATAAAGTAGTTTCTGTTAGAAACTGATTGTGTATGTCAGACACGTGGCGATGATGATATTTTTGAATCAGAGTTAGCATAGTTACAAGCCCATTATGTGTGCCAGCAAACCTTTTGAATATTAAGGCCTGTCGGTCTCTAGAAAATCATTGGGTCATTTGAAAGAGGGTTGACAGTGTTTCTTTAACCGTTCTGTATATCTACTAGTAACTGATATAGCGGATGATTTGCGAAATTTATATCTTAGATTTGTTTGAAAATGGATTTTATTACTGTAATCGAGCGGAATATATATGATGGTAATGTTATATATACATATATATATCACTTAAAGGTGTTTGTATTGCGAATGATGTTTCAAGTGTATTCTCTCCATTGGTTTATTTCAATAAATTAATGTCAAAGTGACAATTCATGTTTCAGTTAACTTCAGTCAAAACTCGTTATTTTGTAACATGTAGTGTGGAAGATTATTAGGAAAAACATAGGTTTGAATTACTGGCAATGAACTTTATAAATACAGCCACGCAAAACGGATGCAAATTGTGATCTCCTGGGACACGGAACATATTTTTCGTATTATAAGTCGACCAGCTGCGAGAACACAGGATTTAAATGTTTGTTTCGAAAATAACACATTTGATTGAGGGCAGCATATAGAAACATATATAGTAAGTGATTTCATGAAAGGAAACTATGAGTAAGATGCTATAATCAAAACAGAAATAAGCATATGCTGATTTTGGACACATTATCGACTTATCATAATAATAATTATTATTATATGCAGTACGTGTTGGGTTAAAATATTTCACGGAATGAGAATTTCAACTGTTTTATCAAGTGTGTAGACGACGGGAAACATGTTGTATCATTAAATGTTAAACCTGTTCATCTGGACAAATTGAGATGTAATTGTTGAAAGGACCCGCCATCAACCAGTAAAACCGTCTATTTAACTTTTATGGAGTGCAAGCCAACCTCATAAAATTACAAGAATGGCAAAACATGAATGAAACATTTTACTTCCATCGGCGTCTCTTGATATCGACGTTAATTGATATTGATCGCGCGCTTGAATCAAAAGACGACTTTACTAATAAGAAAACGCTGCCATTAAACAATGCAACAGTGTGCGAAAAGATACGTTGTTTATTTCCCCAACGATGTCTCGTTCATCTAGGTCAATCGGTCATTGGAGAAAAATACCCAGAGTCGGCAAGTGTATTTCCAAATGTAAGTTGAAGATTCCCCTGATGTACTAATATATTAATTTGATGTGTGGTTGTTTGGAACGTGAGGCAATACTGTCAGCTGTTAGCGTCTTGTGTGAAACAAACAATAAATTGATTACGCTCAATTGTCGTTGGTGGCGCTATTGTGACCAGCATGTCTCAATATCACCAAAGCTTACTTAGGCCATGGACACATCGTTTAGTCGATTCCAGTATCTTTGTTGCATTGACATCTTTGGATATACTTGAATGAATGATGCTCCGTGAAAAGCATGATATATCATGTAATCGGTCATAAAACGTGTCGAGGTTTTTATGAGTTTTTCTGTCCATATAATTTGTTCTACGCAAGGTAGTAAAATTGACATCTTTTAGGGGGCGGCCTTCAAACAAAGAATGGATATCGGACAGATTAAAGGCGGTGAAATGTAAAATACGATGTCTATGCAAATGTTACTTCTGTGTTTTATGGAACATCCAGGATCTTACCACGACGCCAAAATGTACCCTGGAAATATTTAGCGTGGAGTAAACCCCGAAAACGTACAATATACCACGCAAAGTGTTAACAGTTTCCTTGTAAGTCTCCGAAGACGACATTTTTCTAAAACAAACCAAAATATCTGCAGCTTTTTAGAGAATAGTTCACCGTCTCGTAACGTTATGTAACTCAAATCCCCTTTCACAAAATAAAATAATCAATCCCGAACACGCCGTGTACACGTCAGGTGTATATTCAACTATTACAGTTTGTCATGTAGAAATATCAAATCTCTCAAAAACATTTTTATTGATCGACGATAAACAAGTCTACTCTAATCATTCACTGATGAACTTTTACTCATATACGTCACAGACACGCTTCGTCGCTTGAGGGCGCAAATTAGTGCACGCTGTCCATAACTTTGATTCCAGAACGATTTTCCATTTTACATAGATAGAGAAAGTGATATTAAAAATATGTGATCATCGTAAAAATTTCCAAGAAAACTCTTAGGCACAATGCATTTTGTCAGTTTAATAACATATTTCTGTTTCCCGATACCTGTGTTTATTTCGGGGTTGGATGAACACATTGTATATGGAATTGACCAAGGAAATATAAACGTAATAGTATTAAAGTCACTCTGGTTTTCTGAAAGCTTAGATATATACCACAAACGTGTCATGGGGCATTGTATGCTTAGTGGAGTATATATTGACTATAGTAAAAAGAGAAATGAATTCAGCAGCGAAATGACTTGTGTTACATCATCTGTTTCAACCGTATTTGGTTCATGTTAAGTACTGTAGAATACTTTATTTTCGCTGAAGGAATGAGTCAGTGAAAATAAAATCCAGCGAATAAACACTTTTTCCTATATTTTACATTTAACTTGTCAAAAATCAGTGAAAATAAAATTTCATACAAAATACCCAAAATGCCTTTTCTGCGAAAATTAATTCCAGTGAAAATAAAGTATTCTACAGTAATGCAGAAACTGGTTTAATTAAAACGAGACTCCTTATGAGATGTGCCTGGACGCTATCTCACAATTTTAAAACACATGGCGATGTATCCAGCGTATGCAAAAATACAAAAATAATTATTGTTGTCATTGAATTTTCCGAGTAACGCAATAAGTACATGGTAACATTGCGCATGACTGAATACTTGACCGGAGTTGATGACCAGCACAAGAAATTTGGCAAACTGACACCGAAACGTATTGCAGAATTAAGGTGTACGATATGAAAGCAGTACATGTAACTTTATACCGTTGTTTAAAGAAAGTATTGTAACAATATCTAAAGTAACAAATCTATCTACAAATGCTGCTGCTCGATCTGGGATCGATGTTTGTAAAGTAGGGTGTCCTTTGAGATCGACACGCCTACTCGTCTCTCTATCCACTTTAGAAATCTCCCAGAGCCACAATATAACGTATCAATATTGGTGTCGTTTTTGTTCTACTATTGTGGCCGCGAACATGAAATGTAAACAAATAGATGTAGAGACATGCTTACAGAGCCAATATAGCGGGAGCACCGGGAAAACATGCTATTTAAAACATCATGCGTATAAAGACTGAGAAATAACACCTGGTAACATATTTCTACTTCTTTGCCGGAGCGGGGTTGGAAACACACTTTTGTACGATTCCTATCCAATTTCGTATCTTTTCGGGTCTGCCAATAATAGTAGCTGTGTAATGCCTACCGACTCATGATGAAATAGACTACACTGGGTTCCCGGATGAAAAGAACAAGTCTACCATGAATTTTCAACTCAAATTAATGGTATTCATGATACTCGGATATTTGGCAGATGTGATGTACGTGTCTGGAAACCAGAAATACTAGTAGTTAATTGTGTATTATTTATTTGTTATTTATTTACTCCAGGTGCGTGACCTAGTTAATCGATGTACGTGTCCAGTCCAGTTTCGAATGATTGAGGTGTCTCAGGGCAAATACAGAATAGGCGACTTCAATACACTTATATTTGTCAGGGTGAGTACGTTCACAGAATATTAAATGTCAATTTGAAGGTTTCAGTACCACGCGACTTTTTGTCTGATTTTTCATCAAATCAGCAACTCGCTAACGAAATCCTCGAAGCATCTCACACGACTTGAAAGACTTTTTATTGACGTTGCGCTCTTTTTACGTTGTAATACAGGTTTTAAAATGTTTAATGTAGTCTTATATATTCAGTCAGTCAGTCATTCACTCGAAGGGCAGATAATTCAACAGGTGGTTCTGGGGGATTTGTTGTGCTATAGCGCCACCTAAGGTCACTCGTTTGTTGTTTATTTTCAGATTCTTCGTAGTCACGTGATGGTCCGTGTAGGTGGCGGCTGGGATACCTTAGAACACTATCTTGACAAGCATGACCCATGCCGTTGTGCAGGTATGTACATTTCAAACTACACACACATTCCACGCGAAGTTCGACCAGACAAAACTCTAGAACTGGAAAAACAGTTGAGACAGTGTCCGCCGCGATTTTAATATTTTAGTAGTCTCATTCGTGACAGCACGAAAACGGATTACCATGGATCGAGTTTCACGTCGGGTCGACACAAGGGCACCAATACAGGGTCTATTTGCTGGGCTGGGCAACCGTTAATGACTCTTTACCTATGCGTGTTGTCCTGTAGAAGTATACAGCGTCTTTGGGGTATTTAAGCACACTGTACTGCAAGGTATATATATGTATTATTTGTATTAGTGTATTATATAAGTTTTACACATTGACATACCAGTGCTTATAAAGCTGTGATATATAAGCCGATGGTAACAATCATGACCCATTTAGAACACGCGTTGCTTAGCAACGATTTACAGAAGCCATTTTGTTATTTCTTGTGCACAAACACGTTTGGTATTTAGCACCGACAATATAAGACATTTGTAAACAAATGCGATTGGGGGTCAATGCCGACAGCATACGATAATGTCCTCCCTATCGACGTCCATTTAAACAAATAATATAGTTTTTTTTTTAAGTCGGTGTCTCATTTAAACAGAACTATTCAGTCAAATTAACTCTGTAGTTGATTGTTTGCTTTAATAACGTGTATTAATCGTCATAGTTCCATATTCCGATGGCAATTTAATGGCGTCTGCTTCCAGTTAAAAATTGGTTATACAAATGATTATGAACACGTCGCTCGATTTTGTTAATTAGAAATTGTAATAAATTAAAAATACGCAATTCATGTACAATTAGTCAGTTTTCCAAAGTTCACGTTTTACTGTTGAAATCTGTTCCATACTTTGTTCAGGTGCGTTTTTTTTTTGTCAATACAAAAAAATGTTTGGCTCGCGTCCAACATGTCGCATTCTTTCTCCTCATTATACCCGCCTGGCGCTGAGAGTCGTTACTTTTGTTGAGAAACAACGTGTAATTGTTCCTTTTAAGTGACCTGGAAATTTTAGACTTGGCACAAAAAGAACTGTTGGTCGTTGGGCATTACGTAACTAGACTCACGACGAGCCTCACAAACCGAGAGTTACTGAGTCTGGCGTACTGAGGCAACACAGAACTTCGCACTTGGTCCTACGTGTCCCGTCAAAGGGTCGTATATCAAGCTGTCAAAGCCATTAAGCACAGCCGCTGACAATGCCAACAATACCCTCTATATAACGTATACTATTATTTCGACAATAAATAGTTTAACGTTTCCTCAATCTCGAATTTCAGTGAATGTTTGTAGTAGACTTGTTTTAAAAGCTTGCCATGATTCCTTATGCAACGCAATCCAACATGGCCGAACTTTGTCTTATATTAGTATACTTAATATAAAGAAGCGAATTGAATATAAGTAAACAAGCAGCGTTTAGATTAAAATTTATTTACTGAATTTAAACGCAAAACAACTTTCTCCAATACATGTGGTTTTAGATACTTACTCAACTGATGCGATTAAAATCGTTTTCAACAACAAAACACACACACATGCACGAGAAATAACTCGGTAAACATACACACAAATTCAATAGATTGACCAGGCGTTTGACAATGACATTTCAGTGATTTATATAGTTTCCCATTCATGATTGTTCTCGTAATAAAAGTATCTTTGTAAAAAGCGTTTTGTTAAAAAGTAAGGGTAAATCATGTGACCCAGTTTGCGTCGATTGGCTACCATAATGATACATCTAGTCACAGTCCCTCACAGACGAAAATTTCGAGAATATGTATTCCAAGGTACCATGAATATTTCATTATGCTATTCAAGTCATTTCTTATTTAAGTAAGAAACTAATTAATTAATTAATCAAATGTCACATTGTCGCTATGAAATGTGTATTAACGCATAAGTAAAGCGTGCCATTGGTTGCGTTGACCTCCACGGTCAGGATCGAGGTGTATATATCCTTGGTTATTGTTATAAACACTTGACCCGTGTATGGCCATGATCTAATTAGAATAGCAAATCAATATATTCGACAATGTCTATATTCCATAGCGGAACGAACACATATATATTTTTGTGACAAAGGGAATGACAGGCATCACACACTTTTGTGTACTGAAAAAAAAAGTACATGGTGATCTGGCCTGATGTGTTTTATTTATGAATGCCCGCTTTCGTTTCAATTCTGTTCTTATGTGTGTTCACACAATCTAGAATAATTTGACAAAATGTAGATTTTGTTTCATTCCTTGACCGCATTTCAAAACATTAAATCTGCAGACATACCGATAAACAAATCGAGGCAATCAAATTACTGCCATCCACTCCCGATCACTATGGCATCGACCGCTTTATTCATTGTCTGCGTCAATTTGTCCCAAGACAGTCGTCATGAGATAGAATCTGTTGGCTGTAAAATAAGGCATATAAACTGCATGCTACTTTGCACACGGCAAAAGTCAAAAGGAAGACAAAGAAACTCGGTGGTGGTAGTAGTGGAAATGCTTGAGTGCGTCTTTTCGTGTTGCTTTGTTGTTTCATATGAGACATTGGATGATAAGTATAACCACTGAAGCAAAAACGAGAAACGCTGAACAAACAATCGCCACTGTTGTGTTGTGCCAGTCCTTGATATGTCAAAGGTCACTTATGACGAAATGAACGTCCCGAAGTGACCTGTATTGAATGTTATATATTCAACCAATCTTTATTAAGTCATAAAATAAGTTGCACATTATACACAGAATAGTTCACTCTTAAAATTAATCCAGTATGTACGATTGTAATCTATGTCAATCATATACAGTGTGATCCACATTTGTAATTTATGCGAAATGACAGTATTAATTTTACTTCCCACCCAGAACTGAATCACTGTGGTAAACAAAATTAAACAATTACTAAACAAATATAAACTATACTCAATATAATAATATTAATATTCATAACTTGGAAATGTGTGGTCCAGGTTCTAGATCTTACTGAGTAAGAAATTACAATGGGGATACACTTTCAATAAAATTATATTTGCTATGTTGGAATATTCTTCTAGATATATTAATTAATCTTTCTACCGAAAAATTAATGTCTACCTTCACTTTATATGATCTATAACTAGTACAATTACAATAAAAATATATATTTGTATCCAATGACACAAACAAACGATATAGTTGAGTTAAGTAGCTTAATTTAAATAAAATTCATTAGGTGAATTGATGTGGGTAACTCCGAAACCATGGTGCCTAGTGTTCCATTGGAATGACCGCCATAACAACAGGTCACCAGAGACCTAACTTGTAAACTATCCACTGTGTCAATATTTACTGTTCCATTTTATAGTAGCTACTGTCTATTCATAATACACTGCGCTGAAACACTACTTATTTATCTTCTATTGAATTGGGTTTGCCGTCCTAATTTTTGTTTCTTATTCTTATTCATAGGTCATAAAGCAGCTAGATTACATGACAATTTACGACGACAACCCTCACCATCAGGCTCAGATATGAGGTCATCCAGACAGCCTAGGCAAGTAATTATTATATTTAGGTCAAGCGATGTGTCTGAAATATTTGAATTGTTCTACTTTATTGATGGAGTGCATGGGTAAATTGTGAAATTTCAACATTATGCTTATATAATAGTTTGACTTCTTTAAATAAAGATATTTATAGCTACTTGCTCCTTCTCCTCACATCATTGTTTATATTTGTCCATTTATGTCCATCACATCATGTTTTAAAATAGGTTAATTTCTCCTGTTTGTCTCTCAACAGGACCACCCAAGAATGCGACCAAAGCAATAACAAAGTTCACCATCATTTTCATAGTACTGGCGATGTCAATGTTCAAAATGGTGATACTCAGAGAAGACCTTCTGGTGAAAAAAGCTACAGGAGTCCAAGAAGTTATCGATCAACATCACCGGCACCCTCATATGGATCCTCATCATCAACTCCGATGAGAAGATCAGGAAGTGTTGGAAGACTCAGTGATGAAAGGAGAACAACTTCAGAAGATTCATACAACAGACCGTCTGCGTACACAACTAATTATACTCATGATAGTGGAAGTCAGTCAATGAACTCAAGTTTAGGGTCTAGCCTACGCAATGGACTTTCAGATTCCACAGAATTTTATTCAAAATCAAATTCTGTTACTACAAAGCCACCACGTGCCCCGTCACCCAGAAATGTTACAAACAATGTAGACAATGCCACCAGGAGAGGCAGATCTAGCCCTGTACCAAATCTCTTGAGTCCTGACAGCTCAGACAGTGAAGGAAAAAGACAACATTACTGTCATTCATCTTCTCTTGACTGGAATCCAAGTGTTAGTTTGAATTTGTCACCATACGAAGTCTCTGGTAATAATACATTATCATGGACACGGCGAAACGAGGCTGCAAGAACATTGCCAGAAACACCAGCAAGAACATCGGGAAGATCAAGTCCTTCACCCGTTGCAGCATATATTAGGTCAGGACGATCAAGTCCAGCACCATCACATCGTTCTGGACGACAAAGTCCAAGCCGGATAGAAAATGACAGAGCAATGGAATCACCTAGAAGGGTCTCAGGTAGATCAAGTCCAAGTATGGTTGAAAGGAACAGGGAAAGTGGTAGAGGGAGTCCAGCTCCTATTGAACAAGAGCTCAGTGAAACTGTTCAGGGGAGATCAACAGGTAGATTAAGTCAAACTTCTTTTGACAGAGAACGAGACAGAGGACATGCCAGGACACGATCAACAGGTAGATCGAGTCCATCCCTCTTTGACAAGGAAAGAAACAATCAGACAGGACGTTCAAGTCCAATTTCAATGCAGGAATCCAAAACATTTTCAGGAAGAACAAGTCCTGGTCCATCATCTAGAGAAAGGCCAGTGCGATCAAGTTCAGCTACTCGAACAGGTAGTAGTTTTGTGGAACGACAAAGAGAGCGGAAAGAACAAATAGCAAATGCCAGATCAAGCCCAGCTCCTTCCTCGTCAATGTCCAGATCTGGAAGGAGCAGTCCTAGCCCTGTGGAATCACGCCGAGTTGTTAGATCATCAAGCCCAGCTCCATCAAGATCATCAATTACTAGCCGTTCTAGTTCTGTTCCAAGATCTTCCTCCCCAGCTCCAAGACCTGCTTCACCAAGTCGTTCTTCATCATATTCCAGGACAGCCCACAAACAAGATGTAAATGGTATGACATTCACCATATCAAGAACAGATGATGGTAATCACCAGGTCAACAGAGAAGGATATGGCGAGCATGAAAGATTCAACACAGCACCTTCAACGAGACATTCACGCTCCGTGAGATCACAAGAAGAGAGACAGATAGAACCATCAGCAACCAGTCGAAGAGCTAAGGAGAGAGAAGAGCGAGAACTTCAACGTAGAAGATGTCGGTCTGTATCCCCGGAAAGAGCACGTCGTAGAGAGAAGGAAATGTCACGAATGTCCGAAAGTCGAGATAAGGAAGATAAAACACAATATAGATATCGTTCAAAAACACCCCAGCCAAGAGATTTAGAAAAAAGGCAACTGTCACGATCACATGGTATTGAGGATGGGATAGCTTCTCATGAACGGCAGAAAAGTAAACAGCGAATGCATGAATCAATGAGACGATTAATCACAGGGTCCAAAACAAATAATGATGCTTATGATTCCGACGATGAAGCAGACGACAGTTCAAATTCTTCTGATCAACGACGATCACGAGTTCAATTTAATGACGGGTTGAATAAGAGCATCCGACATTCTGCTTTAAGACCATGTTCCCCGATTCCTAATTTTCATAAATTGGAACCAAGATTTTATATGCCTCCGAGGGCTGACCCTTTTCAAAGCAAACGCCCAACAAAAATACCGAAACCAGTTTTCCACGAAAAAGGTTATAAGGTTAAACATAGTCCAAGTGTGAACAATAGCCTTAGCAAACTCAGAAGTCGTGCCTCGGCACATCAGCAAAAACAGCAGCAGCAACCGCGAGCACGTTCCATTACAAGGACAAATAACAGTAGGTCAACAGAGACTGAGAGGAATACACAGCCTAGCAGTAAATCTGAAATCGGTCAACAATATACAGGAAAGTACAGCATGCATAGTGATAAAAAAGACACGGCACAACAGAAACCAGAGTCAATTAACCCCGTCTCCAGTGGGACAAATGCAGGCTTGAACACAGCTTTTGAAAAAGACCATGATGCATTTATCGAGGAAATTATGAATAAATATTCCATATTCACAAATGGGTACCATGACTCAGGATTCGAGGATTCGGTTAATCACAACAACACAGTTGCTAACAACAACAATGTTCAGTCTCCTGAACGTAAACATGCACCTATCAACATGGCTCCAGCACTGGTAACCGGTCGGTCGACCATTGTCAGGTCCACATCCTCGTCCTCTACAATCTCTGTGCCCGAACCAGTACGACCCATCACGCCCACACTGGAACGTCAGCAACGAGTGAATTTTGACGAGTTAGGTGTGTATGACAGTGATTCAACTGACACTGAATATTTCTGAATTTGAATATTCATTAGAATGAGTTTTGGTGTGCTCGCTGGATGTGTCAAGTCATAATAATATGCGTTGTCTGACTATGACGTCATTGACGGCATAACGGGAACAGCGTCTGCGTCGAAATTCACAATGTTATTGTACACGGTTGTCTAAATGTGATATTGTTTACAACCGATTAAAAACACCGTTTCAGTGAATAACCATGTGATATTGGCAGGCATATTTAATTTCGCACTTCATAGCATTTCAAATTTTATTAATTTTAATTCATATATTTTTTTTTATTTTTGCAACTGCTTTAAAAAAGTGTTGTTATGTCAGTTTCACAACAATAAGATGATAAGTGGATTGTCACGTGCGGGGAATATGCTAAGATTTGCCGACCATTCTTTTCAAAATTTCAAGGTGAACATAAAGTTGTGGAAAGAACAAATATGAAATGTGATTATGTGGTGTCAAACTATGATAGCTCTGTTTAGACATTCCGTCCCACGATAATCACATATCGTCCATTGTACCGTCCTTGGTTCGCGAATAAGAGTACTGCAAAATATGGATTTATTTTATTTACGAATAACAAACCTAGAAATTCTTGTATAATTTAATTCCACCCATTTTATGATGAGCATTGCCATTCGAAATGATTTGAAGTTTGAAACAACAAAACCACGTGACACGAATAGTAGCTTACCTTATGAAATATGACCTAGTCTCATAATTTAACACAGCAACCAGGTTCAATGTTTCCATATAATAAGAAAATGAATCTCTCCCTTTCAGGTGGTGAACTGAAAAGTGGTTGTTCATTAAACTTTTGAATGTCAGTCATAACGTTTAAATTACGTCCATTTGTTTTGAAATTAACAACTAAGTTTTAGAAAAAAAAACGCATAAATGCATAAACAATTATAAAATGTTACAGCAAAACTTTGGCGGAAATAACTGAAAATGAAACAGATCATGTTCTGGTTATTGACGCCCGCCATACATGCATGCACGCACGCACGCACGCAGGCTGAACTTAATATTCACAGTGCCGCCCAAAAGATGAATTCACTCACAAAGTTACACCTGCTTAAAAAATATCCGCAATTTCAGTACGGTGTCATATTTATTTTTTACTTTTCAACGGGAAGTTACTAAAAAAGTGAAATTCATCACAGGACTTTAAAAGCCAACTTCATGGTTTTATTTACTAAAATCGCTTGTGATTTTGCTATTATTTTTCACTTTGAATTTGAAATGTTGAGCCCAAAAATGTACAACCGGGCGTAAATTGAAATAATAGCCTTTGATCTGCCTTCCCTTGACAGTCACGGTGCATTGCACGTACCAAGTCATCAAGAGACGGTATTATAGTGATATATAATGAAGATATATACAAGGATTATATACTTGATATTTGTATTTATTTATTTGAATTCCTTGTAAAACAATGATAAATCAAAACAATATGTTTGGTTTCATTATCCCTCCATCACTATGGTTTGCGTTTTCCGGGTCAGTGAAAGCAGCAGTCCCAAATATGCAAATGAGTTATGCAAATAATAACATATATGTAAATTAGTTAATGTTTATTACTTTTTTCCCCGTTTTTGTGGGCACAAACATTATAAAATTGGTTATTTCGTTGTCAGTTTTTCTGCCATGTTATATTTGTTTACGATGGGATATGTACATATGCGCATGCGTGAACTATTTACAGTATTGCTCTGTTGTTTTATCTGTATATATATTAGCCATCGACTTTCCAACTCTTATAAAACTTATTTTGTTATCCGTCTCTATTACTTTGTACATTATTGCAAAATTATTTTAATACGTTCGCTCATTTTCTGTGCTATTTATGTATATTTTGAAGTGTTGATTATTTTGTATATATTTGATATCTAATGCAAACCAGTTTTATTCTGAGCGTGAACATATTTCTGATTGTGAAACAAATAAAAATTCCATTCCTACAAAGATTCTGAACGTGATTTGTTTTTGTATTCTGCTACATCCGGGGAATGGCCACGCTCTGGAGCCTGTCACCTAATCGGAGTAGACAACTATACCCTCGACGACGAACTCGCATACACTTGCTACGTTTTTAATTTATACCATTTTTATTCCCCTG